TGCTAGGGACTGAACTTAGATCTTCATGCATACCAGGTTAAGTGTTCTACCACAGAACTATACTCCAACCCTTTGTAAAGCTTTTCTTTTTTTTTTTTTTTTGGTTTTTCTCTGGTACCGGGAACCGAACTCACGACCTTGCGCTTGCCAGGCAGGCGCTTTTTGCCGCTGAGCTAAATCCCCAGCCCCTTTAATTTAGAAATTAAATACAGTGATATTGCATCTTCCCAGAACTTTATGCAGAATGTATATGGCTAAATTGAGGACACAGTTCAGCTATAATGATTTTTTTAAAGGAAAAAACTCTTTCATAATGTGAAGGACATACTTTATGTCTCTGCATGAACTCAGGATATGCACTGCCCTTTTCTCTTGAAGGGCCTGATGCTGCTGCTATAGCCAGTTCAGGAGCCCTACCTTAAAGCCTTACCTGACTGCGAGTAAGGACCCAAAGACTGAAAAATCTAAAACCACTGATTCCTACCTGGTGGGACCTACTGCTTTTAATGTTTAGTCTTACTGTAAAGAACTGGAAGCACATTAGAGTATTATAAACATATGTTTATCAGTTTAACTAAAATGATCCATCATCTTAAAGACTATCAAGGATTATACCCAACCAACAGCATTCTTTTTGTACCTCTGCAGTGAAAATGACCAGAATTGCAAAATAGCAAAACAAATGTCCTAGTAATAAAAATTTTAAAATAGTCTAAATGTTTACTAATTAATTATATTTCACAGAGATTTCCCTCCCTGTAAAAGAAGAGCCTTCTCCAATTTCCAAAATGAGACCAGTGACAGCCAGCATCACCACAATGCCAGTCAACACAGTGGTTTCCCGGCCACCACCCCAAGTCCAAATGGCACCACCTATATCCTTAGAACCTATGAGCAGTTTATCTGCCAGCTTAGAGAACCAACTAGAAGCATTCTTGGATGGAACTTTACCTTCAGCCAATGAAATTGCTCCTCTACAAACCAGCAGTGAAGACAGAGAGCCCTTTTCTCTAATCGAGGATCTCCAGAATGACCTGCTGAGCCACTCCAGTGTGCTGGACCATTCACACTCACCCATGGAGACTTCTGAGGCCCAGTTTGCTGCAGGTACTCCCTGTCTGTCTCTGGACCTTTCAGACTCAAACTTGGACAACATGGAGTGGCTGGACATCACCATGCCCAACACATCCTCAGGGCTCACTCCTCTCAGTGCCACTGCACCAAGTATGTTCTCTGCTGACTTTCTAGACCCACAGGATCTACCATTACCATGGGACTAGCATCATAGGTTGCCTGTCTCAGAGTTCATGAGGTTTCAGAACAAGAATCTGAAAGGTCAGTTTTTAGAGCTAGCTACCTAGTTGCATTATTGCAATCAAAATATGATGTCTTGGATGGAAAGTTGTAGCCTGGAAACCAAGTTTGAAAACATTTCGCTGTATTTGGCAGTGAATTTCTGCAATTTAATATAGCACAGGGCCTTTTGAAAAAAATACACTAGTCCACGAAGACTCCTCTGTTTCCCAGACTGCAGTAAAGAATAAAAAGTACCGTTAGACAAAAATATAAGGAAGAGTAATGTATACAAGAAAATGACACTAGGATTCTCTGGTAATCAATTACTATGTGCTCACTTTATGACCCTAAGTAAGAGGCAGACAACTCTTCTCACAAAACAAGGCTGCTGTGAAAGCCATGAGAGGTCCTTGCATACAGCACTTCAAGAGGCAGCCTGAGCTAGGCCAGAATACAGCAGGGGTCAGAGGCAGTGGTGAAAGCTGGCCAGTTCAGTGTTGGCTTCCAGCTGAAGACTTTGGGTTCCATTCAGAAACCTATGTAATTTTTTGTGTTACAGTTTATTTTGTGGTTTTTGGAGTCTTACTTTAGGTTTCCAAATTTAATTGAAAGATATTTCACCATAACCAAATGTCATGAACAACTCACTGTAAAAAAGTCCAGGTATATTGATAACGCTGAAAATTCTTTTAGCAGCCCTCTGGGTTGATTAGATTGGTTTTCCTGTGTATATTAGACATTTGTATGTACACTCTAATTTTGTGATCTGTACAGCCTACATTAATTAGGGTAAGGAAATAGAAACACAATGGTCCTACTTCTTTTAGCAACTCAAAATGTTTCTAGAGTACTTGAGCCAGGTGCATTTTTTCTGTAAAAGAGTTGCTGACTAACTTTCAGGTAACCAGACCCATCTCAAAGAACCAAGAAAAACGCTTGAGCATGAATCCCTTCCTGAGCTAGTGAGATAGGAGAATAAGAAGTAAGGGGAAAGTCTGTCATGAGCCCAGGACATTCCCACCCTGAGCACAGATGAGGTTGGCTGTCCTTTTCTGTCGCAGACCCCTGGTTCTCCTTTAGCAGACTTGTAACTGGATATTCTACCCATACTCTCACTGTGTTATCAGCCTAAGATTAAAAACTGGAGGTTTTATTAGTCTTTTATACAGAAAAAAGTTATCACATTTGTTGACTAGTTTGTGATGAATTTTCTAAAATGCCAACTATAAGGTTTCCTATATTATTTTAATTTAGTCATTGAAGTATATGCAAAATGTAAATGAACAAAACTGAAATCTTCCAAAGGAACATGGATGTTTTTATTAAATAATAATACCATGCTTTTCACTTCACTCTTGCTTAAACCTAGGGTCAAGTCAATCCCTGAGTCACTAAATAGTTGATGCTTCAGAGATGTGTAGGTGGCTGACTGACCCATTGTTTGGAAAAAATTAGTGAATTATTTGAGGTTTATATTTTGCCTAAAAGTGATCTTATTTTCAATTCTTTGTTGTTTATAAATTTTACTACCTGTGGAAAAAAGTCTGCTTTCCGAACCTGAGCACACTGGAGCCCTCTGACACTTGAGGCTTGAGGGGTTAACAGTACCCACATGCCTCCTAACCATGAGGCTGCTTTGCTCAGTGGTGAATAGTTTAAGTGTTTAGACATTGGTAATCCAACGCATTGGCTATAGGAACTCTGTTAACCAGAACACTTTCACCTAACCTAACCCAACATGAGTTTACCATGCTGGAGATGAGTAAAGCTCAGTCAGCCCCACAGACAGCGCCGTCTCCACTCCAGAGCTGTTTGATCAGGAAGGGGCTTTTCCAATAGGAGGTCTTGGCACAGGGTTTTTGCTGAGAGCTTCCATCTGGGGTTGTCAAGTCCATACTTAGAGTCTGAGCATCCCGTTTATTCAGAATTGAATGGCTTGTTAAATTAGCAGTAAATACCAGTGGGACTACAGGAGGCAACTGAACACCTACTGCTGTTAACTTGTGTTCAAGAAGCTGATATTTCCACAGTCCTGAGTTGTAAGCCTAGATAATTTTCTGGTCCTTAGGTCCCTCTATTACTTTTTTAAAATAGGTTTTAAAATTTGCCATAAGAAGGTTGCTCTCCAAAAACACAATGCCGTGCAAAGAATGCTATCCCCTGCAGTTCATTCGGCAAGAACAGGCTGAAGTGCCCACTAGACACATGCACTCAAGCCTTGACACGTCATTTTCATTGTTCAGAAAGTGAAGAATCTCGAGCTATGAACCCATAGCTGCTATCCCACTCGCACCATTCCGCATGGCCACTCTCCTTGCTGGCAGGTACTTGTGACATGAGTGCTGCTCTCCAGGACCCACTGCCATATTCCAGGCATGCATGTGACATGACCAAAGACCATACCATATAAACAAGGCCCTCTGTATCTTGGTAAATGCAATGGGAAAGAGTGTGTGTTTACTATAGGTGACTTTTTGTTTAAGGTTAGTTTCGCAGCCACTAAAGCACAGGTCAGAATAGCCAGTTGAATTTTCACTATGCATGTGTGTAGTTTAGACATGGTACTTTTGTGTATTATATTGCAGAGTGTCGTATTGCCAAGAAAGTAACTCCTAGAAATGTGTTATGTTATACCCCAGTCTTATTTCCCTGCATATTCTCAAAGCACAGTAAGATTGACCTTTTCTTTTACTGTACATAGGTATCAACTTTTATTGGGGGTGAGATGAATAAAAAGAATTACACTAAATCTTAGAAGTATAGGGGTGTGTGAGCATCTCACTCATTTTAGTAAAGCATCTGTTAGGAAGCCTCTTAGGACAGTGTCAGCGGTTCATGTTCTAGTGCTTTCTTGAAACATTTTATCTACTTAATAGGATTTGCTACATAACTGTACACAGATATATTCTGAATTTGTGAAATATTTGCTCAGATACTATTTGTGTTTGTTCATGTGAATATTTTAGCAATACTAAGAGGTCTTGTTTAAATTTCCTTTCTTAAAGTTGCATGGCTCTGTGACTGGTAATGACTGACACGGTTTTTTAGAAACTGAGGTAAAGGCAGTCTGGTGTTCCCCTGAGCTGCATCTCAGTAAGGCAGCATCATGGAAATAAGATAGCATCACCGAACTGTGTAGTCAGCGGACACTGAGTGACACATGAGAGCATGTTAACCCACTTTGTCACCAAAGCTGACTCAGGCTTTCTCTGCCCTCAGCCCCTGATCATAACAGGCAACACAGCTTGCTTCAGGGTCCTGTCAGAATTCCCAGGCAGGAACCAACCACAACAGCTGACAAAACAGCTGTCCTCAAAGTGACAGGGCAGTCTCTTTTTCCTGTCTTCAAATGGACTTGGCCTTAGAGAAACGGCAGAGCACTCTGGCAAGGATGAAAATATCTGAGAAGAGCTGATACTTCAGCACACACCTTCATGCCACTTCCACAGGCTCTGGCAGTGGCTGGCCTCAGGAGCACCTAACTGTCGGTCATGTGAGAAGCTCCTGGCACTGCTGGGGCCTTTTTAGAGAAATGTAAAGAGAATAGCAATTCAGTGTACCAGCAGAACAACACAGAGTCACCAAATTCACACATAACTACTGTTTACTATCTGTCACTATACACATGAATGCTAAATACTGGCATACATTGACCCACTGCCCTAGAGGACATGAAATTAGCCCCAAGTGAGCCAAGAATATTAACTGGAAGGTCAGGTTTACCAAGGAACATAGCTTACCAGTGCATAAATGTGTATTTGGAGAGTATCCTAACTATATTTCAGCTGATCTTTTAAGTGATTTCAATCAAAACTGGAAAAATAACAAGATGTAATTTTTTTTCCTAGTTCGAACTTTCAGTCATTTGCTCATTGAACAATCTTTCTTGGCTGTATTGTTATTTGTAAATGACTATCTACTGGCAATAAGCAGGTCCACATTTATTCCCCACTCAGCCTTTCTTACAGTATCTGAGGAAATGCACCATGGCAAAGGGTTTCTACCTGAAATCTTTTGTTGAAGGCCTGTAATTCAAAAAGCTGCACATGTTTACAGAAGAGCTCTTATCCTCCATTCACATACATTGCTCTGTGACCCATGATCGGAAAATGTCACAGCTTTAAGACAACAGGATGGCAATCTGAGATCTATAAGGTGCTGTCTAGAATCAAGTAAACTATGTTACTGGAGATGTCAACAGAGCCATAGTATGTAACAGAGCTTTATGCCAACTACTAAGACAAAGCTTTAACAAAGTTTAGAGAATCACCGAATGGATAACAATTACCTCTTGACTTTTTGCTGTAAGGTCTCCTGTTAATTTGGTAGGAAGAGGAAGCATTTAGGAAAGACTTTAGTATCTACCAAAAGTACTTGACCTCAAGTAACCAATAGTAATGCAAAATGCTTTAAAGGAACCAAAGGCATTGCCAAGTATTTGCCAAAAGGAGGCACTTTTTGTTTAAAATTTGAGACTAATGAAATCTCAAAAATCAGTCCCAAAAAGGTATTATCCATTTAAAGTTATAATTTTCACAAAGATGTAGATATTTCTCTATTGTTTTCATGTAAAATAGTATAGAATTGTTTTGTTAGTTTAAGAATAATACATATTTGGTAGTATTACAGAGTTTTTTCCTTTCTGTGTAGAAATTAGTTTTCTTGCTTGAACTAGAAATACGGCGTGATAGGTGTTTATCTTATTTTCATTGTCACATTATGTCTTAGCATCTCACTTTATGGAAAAGAGGAGAAAGATACCAATCTTTAGAGCCCTGCTTATTAAAAGCACTAGCTTAATAAACAAAAAGTTATGGCAATTGGGGGGTCCATTCATGTATTGCCTTTCTGTTGTTTCTTTAAAAAAAAAAAAACCATGATGCCTTCGTATTTGCTGTTTGCACCCCTGGAATCAATTCCATATCATGTTTGAATGCCATACATTTTGCACATGTACTGTACATAGGTAATGCATACTGTATTTTTATATGTGTACACATTTATCATCAGATCTTTTGTACATAGTGGCAGTATCGTAGATGATCCGGAAATGTTTGATATCTCAGCGATTTTGCATTTTTGTGTTCCAAATAAAAAACATTTTGATGTATAACAGTTTTTGCTGTGCAAAGGAAAGACCACATCCCATAGGTTAGTTAGTGGGATCACTGCAGACCTGTGAGATGGGGCAGATCTGGGAGGAAGCACCAGCTTTAGAATATAGCTCAAGCAGAGCTGCTGAGCAAAGCAAGTGGACCATCAGGGCAGGTTTCATAGATCACATGTAAGTGAGCCATCTTTCCCAAGTCTGGAACCATGACATGCAAAACAAATTCACAGGTACTCACTGACATGGAACATATCAAGAGTTACTTTTAATCATATTCTGTCTCCTGCAGTCATAAGGAAATACTGAATGAAAGGCAGTAAAGTATGTAGTTCTCCCTAGAAATAGATAGATAAATAGATAGACAGACAGACAGACAGTTACATAGGCAGGCTGCCCAAAAAATGTATACACACTTCAGCAGTTTGCGATACTAATAAATGTCTGGGAGCTAATGGCCACCACTTTGAGTACCTCTTGTAACTGTAGAGGCCAAAGATAACTTGTACTGATCTCATGAGGTCTCAGTAAGTTCAGTATTAAATATTTATACAAGCTTTTCTTTTTCTGATGTATACGTTTTTGGCAGACTATAATTATACATATATCTGACTCACCCTCTGATAGTAATAAATATACCACTAAAATTTCTGAAAGGCCCACAATGGGGTCCTTAAATTTAACCAGCTTTCAGAAACACTGTTCATAGAAGGTGTTTTTATAGACTATATAAAATTTTGGCCTTTACTGTTCACCTTTTTATTTGGTTGGGGGTTGGGGAAGGGGGTTGTTTTTTGTGTTTTGTTTTCAAAGATGGCATTTAACATCAACCTTAAAGCTTATGGTTAAAAAGAGAGGACATTGTTTTCCTTGCTGGGAAGAAACGAAATAAAAACAAGTAATGACTGACAACTGTTACTTTCATAGCACTAAACTGAGAAAACAGGCAGAGTATCAGTCATAGAAAGGGGGCAAAGATAGTTGATTATATAAATATAGCAAAAACATTCATTGTCTATGACATTTAGGGTAGAAGAGGGCAGCTTGACATACCATTAAGTAGGTGATGCTTCCATCCAGCCATTTGCAATGTCTCCTGTGTTAACAGAGATCTTGCCTGTAGGGAGAGACACTGGACATTATTCATGGTGGAAAAAAGGCACCAGGGGCAGTGCAGGAAAGATTCTGAGGATTCCAAGGAGCAAGCAAAGGCTGTAGCAGGGAACTCAGGAGACCTCTCATGCAAGTCAGTTTCCTGCAGAACCTTTGGCCAGCCCTGCTGTGTGCTAGACAGCAGGCAGGGTGCTGGAGATTGGCCACAGAACAGAATCCATGAGGGAAGTACGAAGATAATCAACCTGAAAAGGTAAGAGACAGTGGGCGCTCAAGAATTCCCCTCCCTTGAAGGGTGTAGAATCTTGCCCAGATGTTTTCTTTAGTAATACCAAGGTTTGAAAAACTTTTCAGATACTTGACACAGTCACTACTTAACAGTTTGTAAATCCACATACTTAGTGATGACTGTGTGAGTGAAACCTAGCCCACAGTATACTAAAACGCGGGCATAAAGCCAAGAGATGATGGGTTTCAGCATGTACACTGCTTGTCACTAACAGTTTTACCTGGTCACATGATCTGCGTGAAGGTTTCCCATGTCACACAAACATCATTCCCTATGTCTCCTAGCTTCTATCTCTAATGGATTTAATTTTAATTTCATTTAACTTTCAGGAAGAAGCCTCATTTTGATATTTTTGATACCCTTTTGTGTTCATTTTAATGACAAATTAATAAAATGAAACCTGTAAATTGGACAAGAAACAAAGGCACTCATTGACCTTTTGAAGGCCCCATTTGTTAGGTGTAATTGCGTCTCAGATGCTTCCTATGGGAAATCTGGTGAAGTCCCGGCAAATGACAAATCTACAGTGTCCTCCTGCTACTGGTACACGTATAGAACTCCTGTCAAAAGCATCTGGAATCTGAACACCTTAAATGCTGGCACAGTCCAGTCCAAAGCTGAAGTTGGATGGTAAGGAGGGAGTTTCATTCAGGTTGATCATTAAATATTTAAAGTGACTCAGAGATTCAAGTGTAGGCCTTTGAGAGCTTCAGTGTATTTCCGCATAGCAGAATAGACTCCCAAGTGCAGTAAGCCGATTTCCAAGGAAAGCTCATCTGCACAGGGGATTCACTGGACAGAGAGCAGTTGTAACAATTTTATGACAGTAATTCTTCAAGCACTAGAAGTCTGCAAAGCTGGCCTTATTTTCTTCATTTAAATTATGACTAAGCAACTTGAAAGGTCAACCAGGACTTTAAATTTGCCAAAGATGCAGAAGCTATGGTAGGGATACCATAAAGCTACTATAACTAAATGCTATTTCCCTTCTTCTAGCGCTGTTGGTGCATACTGCCAGTGAACAGGAAAATGGTTTAATAATAGCACCAAATATATGTTAAATGCTACTATATGCCAGCCCGGTCACATAATTTGTGTAACCACATTTAATCAAGTTTATTGAGTAGAAACACTTATTATCCCCACTTTACAGATAACAGAACTAAGGACTGAGAGGCTAAATATCACAAAGGCAACACAGCACAAATTTGAGACCCAGCTTCTGAAAATCTAGAACTCAGATCTTTTTTAGTCTGTTAGCCTCTAACAAGATGCCTTAGATTGAATAATATTAGTAACAGAAATTTCTCATAATTCTAGCCTGGAAGATCCAAGCAAATTCAGTCCAACCTCTGCTTCCAAGATGGCACCCCGTTGCTGTGTCTTCGCCTAGAAAAATGGACCACTGCTGTGTCCTCACATGGCAGGAAGGACAGAAAGGCAAAGGGACAAACAAACACCCTCAAGCTGTTTCTAAGAGCCTGATCACTTCCCAAAAGTTGCACTTCTTTGCACTTTATATTACTGCATTGGGGATTAAGTTTTAACATTAATTTTGAAGAGACACACATTCAAGCCACAGCAGCATTTCTATAAACATAAACTCTCCACTTTTGTTCAGATACTTTGCAAATACAACTGATTGTAGCTTAATTAACTCACGTCAGTTGTGAGTTTCACGTGCACTACCTTGATTAGACAGCAGGATCTCTCTCTCCTCTGTCTCACATTTTCCAAAGTACCTGGGTAACAGATGGTTAATGGCATCCACTGTATGGCTTTTTACTAGGTTAAGTCCTGCCAGAACCTGAGTTCCAGGACTAGGGCATCTTAAATGAACCCAACTGGGCCATGCAAAATGACTTGTCATTAAACACTAAACTGAGACTTTTGTAGCCACTTGAAGACATACAAAAGCTTAAGAATGATAGAACAATTTAAAAATACTTAGCAGTGTTGAAGGTAACACAAACTCAGTGATGCAGCAGTTCAGCTCTTTGTTACAGATCCTTCAGATCACATGTATGCAGGAAATCATGTACAGGAACAAACAGTAAAGCAATTTTACAAATCAGAAAGTTGGCCAACAAACCGTGTCTTTCAGTTGGAGAACCATTAAATAACAATTTACAAGATATAAAATTCCATTGCATTTTTGTATAATGGCAATGAATAAACCATAAAATGAAGAAATTAATTTATAATAGCATTGTCTTAGTTACTGTTTTTCTCTTTGCTGGGACAAAATACCCAATGCCCAAAATTAAGGAAGGAACACAGTTTGTGGAGGTTTCAGCCCATACTCAGCTGGCTTCAAGGTGGCACATGGCAGAGGGCAACAGTTCTTGGTGGCAGAAAACAGCAAAAACAGCAGGAGCAAAAAAGGAGCAGAGAGAGCAAGCCTCTTTCTGTCCATTATATTGTATATGGGCTGCCCACCCCAGGGTGAGTGTAGCACTCACACCCATAATCCCAGCATTGGACCATGAATCAATCACAAACTCTAGAAGCCAGCCGCATGATTGCATGAGGCTTTGGGGGGACATCTAGATATAAACCATAACAAGCATCAAAAAGAGTAAGATACTTAGGGATTGATTTAACAAAAGAATTATAAGACATTCTCTGAAACATAAAATGTTGCTGAAAGAAGACAAATAGGGCCTGGGGTACAGCTTGGCAGTACAAGCACCTGCCTGGCAAGCAGTCATGAGTTTGATTCCTGCTACAAAAATAAATAAATAAATGAAATGATATCCAGGTCTATGGGCCAGAAGATTTCTTAATGTTAAAATGGCAGTATTCCCCAAAACTGATCTACAGATTAAACACATTCCCTATCCAAATCCCAGCTGGCTTCTTTGCTGAAATGGACAAACTGATCCTAAAAGTAAGGAAATTTTGGAGACCTAAAATATCCTTGAAAAAAGAACAAAGTTGAAAGATACACTTTCTAATTTCAAAATTTACCACAAAGCTACAGTACCCAAAGTATAGTATTGGCGCAAGGATAGACATATATATATATATCAATGAAACAATTCAGAGTCCATATTTATGGCCAATTGATTTTTCACAAAAGTGCCAAAACAATTGTAGGGAAGCAGACTTTTCAACAAACAGTGCTAAGGCAACTAGATGTCCATAAAGAAAAGAATGAACTTGGATCCTCTACCTCACACCATGTAAAAAAATTTGAGAGGCAGGTGATACACATCTATAATCCCAGCATTTGGGAGATTGAGGCAAGAGGATCACACATTTGAGCCCTGCCTGGGTAACTTAATGATTTAGTAAGACCTTGTCTCAAAATAAAAAAGGCTGGGGATATAGCTCAGTGTGAAGGACCTGGGTTCAATTCCCAGTTAAAATAAACACATGAAAATAAACCACAAAACTCATGAATGACAACAGAACAGTAACTCATACTTTGGATTAGGCAAAGTTGTAAGTATGACAAAAGCATAAGCAATAAAAGAAAATTAGGCAAATTAGATATCAAGGTTAAAACAATACTTCAAAAAGTACCATCCAGAAAATTATAATACAACCTATAAAATAGAAAAATTTTGTAAATATGTCTCTAATAAGGAAATTTGCCAAA